ATATTTTGCCTGTCCTTCCCTGTGTATGCTGTCTGTCCCTCTTTGTTTCCATCTTTTATGATGCCGGCGATCCATTTTCATATCCACTTCCCCTCCCTCTGACTCTCTGTCATTCAATTTGGGAGGATATTAAAAATAAATTATTGGTGGTGTGTTTGAAACCAAGTCCCACCTTTCAAGCTATTCCTTATGAATATAAATATTCATTCAGTTACAATTCAAATTGTTGTTTCCACGCAATTCTTTCCACATTTATCTCATTAGACCCTTCCTCTGATTCACCTATCTCTTTGCTGAGTAGTTCAATTCAAACAGCTTTGTAAATCTGGCTTGATTCCTCCAAGATTAACCATCATTTGAGAATACAAAAATAAACAAATGTCCACTGGTGGATATTTTTGTACAAAGCAATAACAGCAGTAGTGACTCTGTAACAGTCTATGATTTCATGCAAGCAGAATATAAAATGCAGTGTGATCTTGCATATGTTTGATAAGATTAACGACGGCATCAAAGGCCGCATAGTAACCTCGGCAAGGGGCCCAAACACCACAAGCGAGAGCAGGCCACAATTAATACATCATTATGCACTGCTACAGTTTATACCCGTAAACACATACAACACACAGCAGAACCCCGACCAGCCAGTGCCTGTCTCAATATCCCCTGCATTAGACATGCAGCAATGTTAACATCATTATGCACAATTGTGAATGTCTGTCTCTGCCCTCCCCCCTTTTACTCCCCAACCATATTGTGTCTGCGTGTTAGTCCGTGCGTGTGTGTGTGTGTGTGCCTGCGTGTGTGTGTCTGAAATAAGGGCGTAATTATTTTTATTTAAAATTGTACGCAAGTTGAAACCAATTGACTGCTGATTTTCGTATGGCAAGAAACCTCTGAATGCAATAGACATTGATATTAGCATTGATTTAAGGTGATTGTTATAGTGAATAATCCAATGGTACCAAAATACTTGCTATGAAAAATTACAATATTTTTCAACTATGATTTTTTGGCATATTTCTTGTATTTATCTACAAATTAGGATTTAAAATGTTTAATTTATTTGCGATTAAATACACACGCAATTCTATACCACACACACACTGCAACGCTAATGTATTAATGTAAAAATGATATATAATTTAGGATGAAAGCAACTGGACTTTAAAGTTGTAAATACTCAAATGAATGTTTTTGCACTTTCTATGCTCATGCATCTGTAATATTGTCTTGGCACAGTATATAGGTAACCCTACTAGTGTTTTAAATATTTATGGTAAGAACCAAATCAAATATCCAGGGAAATAAGTGGAGAATCTTGTTCTTACTGTGGAGACAGACCCAGTTCATCATTACCTAAATCCCCCCAGTTACTGAACGCACTCGAGGAAATGTCACATGTTTGATACATATTTACTGGGAGGTTGAGGAGGACTTTCATTAGCGCTGGTGTTAATGTCTGCTCTACATTTCTCTGAGACACTACGGTATAAATATTCCCCCCACACACAGACACAATTACTGCAATGCTATTAACAGATATTGTATCACATTTGCATCCATTTTGTTTTACGACAGCCTCTTCAGCGAACACGGCATATTGTTGCATTATGAAATAAGGAAAATAATTATGCAAAAAGTCAACAAAAAGGTACATATCGTTTAGGCCTTAGGAGTCGTACTGGGATGTATTCAGTACTTGTATGCAGAGGAAATTAAGTAGTCTTGTTTTGCTGAACACACAAAAATTAGAATCAGATTCAAACACATATATTTGTAGTTATCTGCCACAACTTAGATTGTCCGGCAAGTGTATACAAAGTCCTTGGCATCCCTCTGCTTATACAAACTCCCCTCCTGCCACCTCGCTATTCCTTGCTGCCAGCGATTTGCATTAATTTGCATGATTTTACAATGTGCATATCCTTTGTTCTGACTGTATCATGATGCAGAAGAAACCATCCCTACGCATCGCTATTACACAGCCCTATGAAAGCTGTATTTTAATCTGGTTTAATTTTAAATTGATAAGAAGAGATTTCTGCAAATACCAGACTCATCCCATGCTACACCAATAATAATGTGGTGCATCAGAATGAGGAAAAGAAAAATGAGTATGTCCTAGTTTTGTGGAATCTTTGAACAACCATGGAAATGACATCGTGTGCTATCGCTAAGAGGCATGAGCATCTGCAATATATAGCACGGGGTAGAGGTTGCATCCAAGCATGAAATATGGAATTACTTGACAAATAGGAAAAAGGAAAATTATAGATTGAAACTAAATCATTGAAAAGAAAAAAAGCCTTTCACCTATTTTACAATATTTTAATAAATACTGTACTCCTTCTGTGGCCTCCAACTTTTAGTCATCATTTATAATTGCTGGCATGATGAATAATTCCACCTTTGCATTTACCATATTATCTTTACTGTGCAAAATTGTTTATTTGTATGTTTGTGAATGGACCTATACCTACTGCAAGCCTCATTGTATTCTGGTGTCTTTTGTTCTCTGTTGTATTATTCGAGACAACATGCACACACTCACACACACGCTGGCGCTTTAACACTCCTTAATCATGCAGACACATGCAGACGACTTCATTAATCGCTGTGGGCTTGCACTGATGATGCAGAAGCCGGCCTACTAGACTGGAGGGATAATATCCAGGAATACGGGCGCCACATTTTAAATACTTACCCCCGCTGGCACCATAATAGTAAGCAGCTGTACTCCAAATATGCATGGTTGATAAATGATTATGAGTATAGAATAGGAAATGAGGCAGTGCAATATAAACAAACTATAATGTATAGTAAACATACTGTCTTTTTTATGGGGGATTTTTTTTAATATTCATTATATGCTATATGCTTTTTTATTGTCTGAGCTTGAAATAATATCAATCCTGACCATACACATATGAGAGAGAGTGAGAGAGAGAGACATAAATGGATTGTAAAAAGTCCATGTCCTTAGCCTTTCTTGATATTGTCTCACAAAATACTGCAAAATAGAAAAGGTGCTCTGTGTTCCGGTTTCAGCTTCAAGCCCCATGACCTTGCTTTATTCTGCACACAGGTAATGGCTGAGAGGGGGGGGGGGTGTTACTCATAAAAACGCCTACCTCTCAAACTAAATAATGCAAAGTCAGATATAGCTAGACTTTTAGCAGAAGGAAGGATATGTAAGATGATAGTTTTGTATGCATAGAAAATGTTTGCAAAGATTCTCCACAGATGGTCTTCAGTTATTCAATTATCTAGTGAAACCCAATTAAACTAAAGTCAAAAGTCAGCTTTTAATGCTATTCAGCCAAGTGTTGAAAAAATGAAAAGCTGTTGACCTACCTCTTTATACAATGACACAGTTCTGAAGTCTCAGGTAACAACACAGAGGGCTAATGGGTTTCACTTTAGCCCTTTAAACACCTATCGAAATTATCCTGGCTACACTCTGCACACTGAAGTTATGCTGGAATGAAAATATGTATATAGGACATACAGAAAGATACCAATGGTCAGCTATAACATATTCTATTCAAATCAATGTTATGGTGGCAAAACCATTAATTTCATGCCAACAGGGTAATTCTGTGGAAATGTACTGCAGAATTGGATATAAGGCTCCATCTCTCTGTGGTATAGATGGAGCTACAGACGTGAGCACTACCTTTTCCTACCCAGTGACTTGCCCTGCCTTTCCAATTGGCCCTTCTGAGCAGTCCACCAAATGTGTGTGAGACAGTATTGGGAGTAATTAGGATGAGTATACTGAGGCCCATGGGTGCTGACATACCACCTCTTCTCTTTAGCCACTTTTCTTTTCTTTTTCTAGCATCACTAAGAAATCAACTTTTCAACTCTCAAAACAGAACTTGTAGAATCAATGGGGTGTTTTGATTTGGTTTGATTCTTCCTACCAAAGAGGCCACTGTGTGGTATTGTTTTATCGGCGAAATATTGTCTTAATATAAGCATAGTATAGTGCTGTCATATTTTTGTAGCTGACACTAGCAGATGTAAAACCTTTCAGCTAGTTGTGCACAGTGTGTACACCTTCTATCTTAACACTTTGCACCAACTCAGCCGCTTTAGAGGTCACTTAATTGTCGGAAATATTTGGTCAAAGTTGAAATAAAGACAGCACAGATGGTGATTGGCTGCTGTTTGCAACTAATGTGATACATATGTCCATGTCATGAACACATCTCAGCTCATTAAATAGTTTCTATCGTTTCAATAACATATAATGTCACATGTTAAAAAGGCTGTGGTTCTAATTGATAGAGCGAGATGTCCTGCACGCAATGCTGAGCACTGATTACTGTTACCGCATGGATTTCAATGGCCACAGGAACAGTTTGAAATCACTTCCTGGTTATAGCTACTGTTGGTGCGTATGTGTGTTGTGTTGTGTTGAACAGTGAACAGTAACCTCTGTTTCCCCTGGGCTTTTGTCTTTGTTATGGACCACAGGGCAAAGAGTGGGTCATGGGATTTGATATTGCGCACATCGCCTGAGCTCCCTTCAAACCACTGCCATTCTGTTTACTGTGTCCTCTGGACCATTACTAACATCCATGCCTTTATCCAACACACACATGAGCTAACTTTGCTGCAGGCCAACAGACACACATGGACACAGGCTCACACATCAGCAAAGATAGGCACAGTTTGAAAAAATAAAACTCTGACAAGAAAAACATTTTTGACCATGTTTTGTAATACTTTGTATCAAAATGTGTCCGAACAAAATCGAATCCATGTATTTGGTAAGTAATCCTAAACACTGTGTTTTTTTCAACAACAGCGTGATTTGTACATTTAAAATATAATGGTGATTATGATGCTCGGCATTTAATCAGAAATGTAAAGACTGATTATCAATAATTTGATTGTGTCCTTTAAGTGGTCGCAATAATCTCAAAAAGACCCCCCCCCCCCCACAAACACACACATTTATGCATTTTTGTTTATAAACCAAAGCTCACCTCATGGGGGTCTTCTACTTCCTGCTGCCTTCAGTTCTCCACAGCTCAATTTCTCCATCACTACAGCAAAGAAAGACACAAAAAGGCAGAGAGTGAATACATTTACCAAGAGTTAACCTTTACATGTTGAGTTACTCTTTTTGAGCAAATCACAATTAACGTGTTTCCAAAAAAAAATAAAAGAGGGAAAAGCAAACACGCAGTTATATGGTAGAGTAAAGAAACAGGGGTAGCATTTACCATCGCTAAGTTGACTTGCAGGAAATCAAATTGGCAATAACTTTGTGCAAACGTCTTCTCAACCTTTACACTTTGCCTAAGAAGTAAGTTAACTTGATATCTTTATGGCAAGTGAGCTTCTGGTTTGCAGATAATTTGAAGGTCATTGGAGGTATACACCTTTTAAGACTTTATTAATATCAGAAATTGTGTAAATGTTAACCTAGAGCTCTAACGTTGTACTTTTGGTATACATTATACCTAACTATGTCATATTAACATTTTGATAATTTTAGAAATTGTGAATCTCTCCAGTCAAATGCTGGTGAATGCTAACTCAGTGTCAGCAGCCATGTTGTTGAACCAAACCACCCTTGACCTCTGCTTCCTCTCACTGGAGTGAAAAGGTTACAAGTCAAATGTCAAGGCTAAAGGACCAGTTTGAGGTCAAAGGTAAACATGATAGATTTCATCAGTCTTTGGTTCGTTTTTAGACCAAATGATTGACCTCACACAGCAACATGCCGATGAACTTGGATGGATCTTTAAATGATGAACGAGAACCGATTTAATAACTGGTCTGCTATTAAAAATACTGTATTTGGACAACAATGTTGCACCTTTGATATTCGATAAGTACATTTCATTACCATGTGGTGGTTATGACGCTACGTCGTTTTTGTTTTCTGGATTTCATTCGGGTTATGTTCCCCAGTGATTGTGAGGCTCTTCTGGCATGTCAATATCAAACTGACAGATGCCACATTTTATTAGAGCTCCGTTTCAAAGTGCACACACACTCACACGCACATCATATTCAAACACTTGCACAGGCACACACAATGTCATGACAGTGCTGCATGGCAATCAAATATTAACAGAACCACACAAGATTCTTATGATTGTGTTCTCAATTTTATTTATATTTTATATAAAATACATACTCTGAATATACATAAAAATCAAGGATCCCGATAAAATAATAAAAAAACATAAACCTCTGACAACCATTATCTTTAAATTCAATTATTAATTCAGTGATAATAATAAACAACCAAAATCTTCAACCAGGGCGTTTTTCTTATACTCCCCTCTACACTGTTCTGAGTGTGTTTTGCGGTTGTGTTGCAAACCAGTGTGTGTGTGTGTGTGTGTGTGTGTGTGTGTGTGTGTGTGTGTGTGTGTGTGTGTGTGTGTGTGTGTGTGTGTGTGTGTGTGTGTGTGTGTGTGTGTGTGTGTGTGTGTGTGTGTGTGTGTGTGTGTGTGTGTGTGTGTCTTTTTAGCCCTACGGCAGGGTTTAGGGTAACTATACAGCATCCCCCTCCACCTTCACCCCGTTCCCTTTGCGGCTTGTGTGGCTTGTCTCATCCCATCTCCCTCCTGCTCCTCTATCTCCCTCCTCCGCTCTGCTCCCCCCTCTCTCCAACACTACTCTGTTTCTAGCCTACATATGTGTGTGTGTAGCATGGGTTGGGGGTGGGTGGGCGACGACTGTGCCAAGAATCGTCCACCTGCTTTCTCGAAAGCAGCAGTGTGTTGATGCAGAGGACGCTAGCTCTAATGCAAATTGCATATTTATACACACAATCACACACAGACAAAATGAGATAACATGAAAAGGAACATAAAGACCGTAGGCCCACAAGCCCTTCTTTTTATAGAGTGTACAAATAAAAATGATGTTTAAGTGAGCTGCACTGATTTGAAACACAGTGTAAGTAATTGAAAATAGGAAAAACTACATATCTTGACTTAAGTGATGCAGAACCAACTGTGCCTTTCTCACACTGTGTGACTCCTCGCCAATTGCACCTACCTATATGACAAAAAGAAGTATTCATAAAACAAAAACATTTCCTTTACGAGAGGTGTTCCTACTCTCCACCCCGGTGGCTTTCAGTGTTTCATTATCCAAATTCGAGGTCTGCTTTGCCACCGGCTCCCCCATGATGCCTGTCTCATTTCCTCCCGGTAACAATCCATTAGCCAACGCCAGGCTCAAACATGCAGCCGCTTAATTATTCCCACTTCTTTGGCAGCACGCCGGGGCGTACCACTCATCAGAAGAAACAGGGAAACAGCTGATATTCTATACCTTATGTTGTGTAAAAAAGGACACCAGGCTGACTATGACAAGGACACACACCTCATATATTATCCTCGTACACACAGTATATTAACATGAAAACTTCCAGATGAATTCACACACTATACATTATGCACACAATATACATTTATCAATATAAACTTCGTCAACCAATTTAACCAAGCTGTAACCGTAACACCTCCGATAACACACTTTCTGGTGAGCGTGTGTGTGTGTGTGTGTGTGTGTGTGTGTGTGTGTGTGTGTGTGTGTGTGTGTGTGTGTGTGTGTGTGTGTGTGTGTGTGTGTGTGTGTGTGTGTGTGTGTGTGTGTGTGTGTGTGTGTGTGTGTGTGTGTGTGTGTGTGTGTGTGTGTGTGTGTGTGTGTGTGTGTGTGTGTGCCCAAAAAAATAAGGATGATGTGTGGTATAATTCATCTTGAATAATTTCCTGCACATTCTTCCTCATGCTATGCCTCAGGAGCACTTCAGGATGAAAGAGAATGCTAATGCTGTGTCTGTATCTCACTGAACAATGTGTGTCTGTGCGCTGTGCCCATGTGTGTTTGTGTGTGTATGAGTGTGTGTGTGTGTGTGTATGTGTGTATGTGTGTGTGTGCCTGTGTGTATGCCGCCTCACTAAGCAAATTTATGATAATTAACAGATAGGAGAGGTCAGCTACAGTGTGTGTATGTGACAGTGATAGTGAGTAAGAGAGAAGGAGACAGAAAATGATAGGGGAACAGTATAGCGCTGATTTACATAAATTGGCAATATTGTCACCGACTTCTTTTCTCTGCTCTAAAGCAATTCTACTGTCATTTTTGGCGTTACATTTTCGAGAAATACTCTCACAAAAAGAGCAATGTTTTATCAGTAACTGTTCCCAAAAGGTAAAATGTTGCACCTTTATCCTTGAGGTTGAAGTTAGTACACTGATACATTCGTCATAGATACAATACACTGACTTTTATTTGCACCTTAAGATGGCAGGCACTCATTCAAGATGACGGCAATCAATATATTTAATGGACATTATATCACTTTAAATTACCACATAAATGCATCTTAGATTAAATAGTTTCAAATATAAATGATTTTTGTGTCGCATAACAATGTTTAGTTAAACTCAACTCAATAAAATCCAATTAGCAAATTGATTATTGGGCTCCAAATAAATTGAAATGCTTAATTGAAATGATTAAATATTACCAAACACTGGTTTGGTTTCGATGATGGTGCAAGTATTAGCGCTTTTACCCAATAAACGGCGTGCAACCGAAAGCTAAACACAGTCCGATCTTGTAGGTGACAGTTATCGAGGAAATTAATACATGCAAATGAAACGTTCAGCATGCAGAGAGGCCGATGACAGTAAATGAATAATCCACTTTCAGTGCCCCGTGATTCATACCACACAGAAATTGTATGCGTTAATGTGTATGCGTGCACGTGTCTATGCCAGCGGACATTTTAGGTCTACCCTCCTCACACTCTCACTACTGCCAAACGCCTTAAGATGGTGGCACCTTGAGGCAGAGAGAGACACTCATAGAGAAAGCCAACCTCCTCCTCCCTTTCCCCCTTCTTCCACCTCGGGTCCTCACGACAACACAGGACAGGCCCCCCTTCCTAACCCTTAGCCCCCCTGATAAATATTTAATTCATCCCTCTCTAATAAGGATATTAGGCGAGTACACCCCAGCCCTGGCGTATATGCATGAGTCCTTTCTCATCAAATTTACATAAAAGGGCCAGATGCTAATGCGAGCGTAGCAACTACTGCTCACTATTCTATATGCAGTGGAACAGGCTCCCTAGTCCGAGTGCCCATATAATTTAATTGCCGAACAGCATATATTTTTCAAATGGTTCCTCGTATTCAAATTGCATCTAGGCCTCAATATCGTATGCTCTACAAAGAGCGCAAAGGCGGCCATATTTTAATTGTAGTGGCGGCACCACTACAGTATTTATGCTTATTTAATGTTTTCTGAAGCCACTCCTCTTCTATGAAATTATAATATAGACCTGCTTATGCATAACATCAGAAAAATAAAAATTCAGCATGTTCAGACAATGAATACAGGTATGTTGTTTTTTTAAAGAGTCAGAGCTTGTTCAAACATGAATTACCATTTCAACAATAAAAGATAATTAAGGTTTGGAAACTGCATAACGCTAATAGCGTTTACTAATGGGATGTTGAGGGTAAATACAGTTAGACAATTAGCCTCATAATTTTGAAACAAATGACTTGATACTGTGAGATCGTCGCCGTATACGGTGTACTGTACATACAAAAATAAGATGTTGATGACTTAAAATAAGAGAATAGCATATAGCATGGTGAGAGGCCCCCGATGTTTGTAATTAATAGAGGATGAATAATGCAGTGACACGAAATATATTATTTACACCCTTTCATCTTCGAGAAAGATTCAAAGCATATTTCAGATGCAATTATACTAATTTATTTATAGTGCATAGTATTTGCATAATCAAGAGCCAACAGAGCACAAATATCTTGGAAGACAGGCTGACAGCCAGCTTTAGACCTGGAGTGTAAAAATAGCATTTATGCACACAGCCTTATTGTGCACTTCTGCTGCTACAGTATTAACATCTAACAATGCTGCTACAGAGCTGAAGTATAGCATTATTATGGTTTGAAATACAGGTACAAAGAGAAAGATGTGGCATAGCATATTATGCTTCCTCCTCTTACAACTTTCACAGTTATATTTTGTATTAAA